TTTTTTTTTTTTTTTTTTTTTTTTTTTTTTGTACCGGGGATCAAACTCAGGTCCTTGTGCTTGTGAGGCAGGCAGAGGAACCACTGAGCCAAATTCCCAGCTTTATTTTGCTCTTTATTTACATCTTCGATTTCTCATAAAAGAAACTATGCACTACATAGGCGTGTGTGTCTGATTACTTCACTTAATACTATGACCTCAAAATACACCCATTTTCCTCCAAATGACCCAAGTTAACCCTTCTTTATGGCAAAGTAGTTTTCCAGTGTGTGTAAATACATTTTATCCATTGATCTGTTAATGGATATACAAGGTGCTCCCAAGAGTTAGCAACTATGAATTGCATAGCTATATGGGTGTGCATCACTGTAATACATCTTTAACCTTCAGGAAGGTAACCTAGAAGGGGAAGATAGGTCAAATGGAATTCCCTAATTTTAGTTTTTTGAGGAATATCCATAGTGCTTGTACGAGTTCACATTCTCACCAACAATGTAGAAGGGCTCCTTCTTACCCACAGCCTTGCCAGCATTTGTTATTTGATTTCTTGATGATGGCTACTCATTGTGGGGTAAAATAGAATCTCAGCACTGTTTTGTGTTTTTGTTGTTGCTGTTGTTCTTTGGTTTTTAATTTTGTTTTGGTACCAGGAATTAAACTCAGGACCTTGCATTTGGAGGCAGGTACTGTGCCACTGTGCTAAATCCCCGGCCCTTATCATTGTTTTAATCTACATTTCTCTAATGACCATCAAGGTCGAGCCATGTTTTTATTGGCCATTTGTACTTCTACTTCAAAATGTCTATTCATTTCATATGTACTTTTTTTTATTGTGTATGTTACATTGGGGAGTCTAATATTTTGAGTTCTTTACTTTTTCTAGATAGCAGTCCTCTGTTTGAGGAACACCTGAAAAAATTTATTTCCTATTCTCTAGTTTTTTGTTGTTGTTGTTTCTTTTGCTGTGCAGAAGCTTTTTCATATGATTTCATATGCTGATTCTTGTTTCTTGTGCAATTGGGGTTCTGTTCATGACTTCAAGAGTATTACCTATCTTATCTTCTACCAGGTTGTGTTTCTGTTTTAAAATTTAGTTCTATGATCCATTTTTATTTTAGTTTAGTACATTGGTGAGAGATATTCTGCATGTGGATAGCTAGTTTTCCCAGTACCATTTATTAAAGTGGCTATCATTCCTCCAGCATGTCTTTTTAGGCCCTTTGTCAAAGATCAAATAGTTGAATGTGCTTAGAGTTGTTTCTGCATCCTCTCTTCTGTTCTATTGATCCACGTGTCTGTTTTTATGCCAGTACCACATGGTTTTCATCACTACAGCTCTATAATATAACTAAAAGTCCAGGATTGTGATGCCTCATGTTTTGCTTGTTACCCACAGGCTTGCTTCTGCAATTCTGGGTCTCTTCTAATTCCACAAGAATTTTAGGATTGCTTTCTCCAGTTCTGTGAAGAATGCTATTGGTATTTTGATTGAGCCTACATTAAATCTGTGTGTCAATTTTGGAAGTATGGTCATTTTGACTATACTGTTTCTGCCTATTCGGGAATATAGGATATCTTTCCACTTTCTAACTTCTTTAATTTCTTTTTTCAGAATACTTAGTTTTCATTATAGAGGTCTTTTACTTCCTTAGGTTAATTCCCATGTACTTACATTTTTTTGGTGCTATAGTGGATGGTATTTTTTCCTAACTTCTCAATGTACAGAAACAATACTGATTTTGTGTTGATTTAGTAGCCTGCTACATTACTGAATTTAATTATTAATTCTAAGAGTCTTTTGGTAGATTTTTGGGGGGGTCATCTGTTGTAGAGAACCATATCATCTACAAATAATAATTTGACTTCTTCCTTTCCTATACATACCCCTTTTTTTATTTGGCCTAACTGCTCTTGCTAATGTTTCGGGTACTAGAAATTCTTGTCTTGTTCCTAGTTTTAGCGGGAAAGCTTTCAGTTTTCCCCACTTAATATGATTCTGCCAGTAGGTTTGTTATAAATGACTTTTATCAGAAATAAGGTCCTTGTACATCTATTTTTTTAGTGTTTTATCATGAAACGTATTGGATTTTATCAAAGGTTTTTCCTGCATCTATTGAGATGATCACAGGATTTTTGTCCTTGTTATTATTTATATGTATTATAATGAATGTATTACATTCATTGGTTTGCATAAGTTTAACCATCCTTGCATCCCTGGGATGAAGCCTAGTTAGTCATGATATGATTTTACTTACTTACTTATTTATTTATTTTACTTTCTTTCTTTCTTTCTTTCTTTCTTTCTTTATTGGTACCAGGGATTGAACGCAGGACCTTGAACTTTGAAGGCAGGCAGCAGCACCACTGAGCTAAAGCCCCAGCCTGATGTGTTCTTTTGATGATTTGTTGCATTCTGTTTGCCAGTATCTTATTGAGGATTTTTTATCTATAGTCATTAAAGAGATTGTTCTATAGTTCTCCTTTTCACTTGGATCTTTGTCAGGTTCTTTCGGTTTTTTTTTTTTGAGACAGTCTCACTATGTAGATCGGACTGGTCTTGAACTCACTGTGCCCCCAGGCTTGAATGTAATCATGGTGATCCTCTTGCTTCAGCCTCCTAAGTGCTGGGATTACAAGTGTGTACTACTACACCTGGTTGGATCTTTGTTTAGTTTTAGAATCAGGTTAATGGAAGCTTCTAGGAACGACTTTGGAAACGTTCTTCCTCTTTCAATTTTATTAAAGAGCTAAAGAATTTCAGTGTTAGATCTTCCCTCAAGTTTTTGTAGAGAATTCAGCAGTGAACCCACCCAGGTCAAGGCTTTTCCTGGTAGTACTGCTTCGATTTAATTGCCTGTTATTGGACTGTTCAGGGTTTTTAAATATTCTTCAGTTTAGGCAAGTTATATTTATCTAGGAATCTATCCATCTCTTCAGCTTCCTCCAAATTATTGAACAAGTATGTGAAGTAGCTGTTAATAATTTTTATTTCAGCCTGTTGTGATTTCACATTTTGTACTGGGGGTGGTACCAGGGATCAAACTGAGGACCTTGTGCTTGCAAGGCAGGCACAGTGCCACTGTGCTAAATCCTTGGCCCTACCTTTTGCATTTCTAATTTCAATAATTTAAGCTGCTTAAGCTTTTTCTCTCCTTTCTTGGGTAAGATTGGTTAATGGTTTACCTATTTTGTTTATCCTTTCAAAGAACCAACTCTTTGATTGATTCTTTGTATTTTTTGTGTCAATTTCATTGATTTCTGCTCTGATCTTTATAATTATCATGTTTACCCAATAGTAACAACTGGAAAAGCATGATTTTTCAGGATGCTCATAATATAAGCCCTACCCTAAAAATAAGCCCCAGTTAGGATTATCAGCCATATGGACATACTTAGTACATCTGTTGCAACACACAATGGAAGTATTGAATCATACAATAATATTAATATATAATCAAATACAAATAAATATTATTGACAGTCTTAAAATAAATAATCAAAATTATAATTATTTGTGAATATCCAGCAGGTATTTGGACAAGAGATAAATGCCTATGTAAACAGGTGACCTCAAGACTTATTGCCAAATGACCAATCCAAGTAGAAACAGATGCGCTCACTTGACAACAAATGGATGTGGCTGTGTCTAATATAAATCTTTATAACTCAGTATTATAGGGAACAGGAAAGGGGACATTACCAGAAACTTCGGCAATGGGTCCTGGTCTCCTATAAGGCAATATAACACAAAGCTAGTAAGAATAAATAAAGAAACAACACTTAGAGAGAGCTGGGTCTTGGGGCTGATTGGTGCTGCTCTGGGAAGCAAAGACAAAAGCCCCCAAAGACATCCAGTATTTACTGATTACAAGACAAACTAATTAGAAAAATGAACACAAGATAAGAGCTGTTCCTGAACCACAGCATCCTCCAGACCATTATGAGACAAATACTCTAACAGAAAAACAATTGAATAATATCAAAACCAAGTCATAGAAGCTTAAATACAAACGGCCAATGGACATTTGAATATATTCACTTATAATAATATAAACCCTGACTGTGTGCAGCACATGCCTGTCATCTCAGCTCTCTGGGAGGCTGAGTCAGAAGGACTGCAAGTTCAAGCCCAGCCCAGGCAACTAAATGATTCACTGAGACCTGTCTCAAAATAAAAAATTTTTAAAAAGTCTGGGATTGTATGTAGCCCAAGGTGAAGGCTCTTGAATCTCCAGTACCAGAAAAAAAAAATCCTAATAGAAGTCAGCGTTTTTCCCTATCAAGTCAGCAAATTTCTAGGAGAAATAAGCATTTTTTTTTTCATTACTGATGGCAAAACATTTCTGGAAAACAGTCTGGCAATCTGTATACATGTGTACATTTGTTTTCAAGAGTAACCCCTCCTCTAATAATGATTGCAAAACAATAAAGCATATGTTTGCAAAAATGTGAAAGGTGTTTATTTTGGGATCACTTACAAGAAAACAATTGTAAATAATCTAAGCATCCATCAATGGAAATTAATTTAAAATATCCCATATAATAGAATACTAACCATTTATTAAACTTTGATGTTGCCAGGCATGGTGGTGCATACTCTTAGCACTGGGGAGGCTGAAGCAGAAGGATCACCTTTATCACATTCAATGCCAGCCTGGGCTACATTCTGAGTTCAAAGCCAGCCTGGACTACATATTGAGACCCTGTCTCAAAAAAAAAAAAAAGTGTATTTTTTATTTTAATTAATATTGACCTTTATCGGCATCTTCCTTAGCTCTTTCCTCCCTTGGTGAAATATTAGTTCATTCTTTTGGTCTCAGGTTAAGCATTATTATTATTTTTTTTTTTAGCATTATTTCTTAGGAACACTTCTTCTGTGGGGTTACATGGGCTTTTTTCTCTAGCTGAACTCAGCTAGAGAATCAGTTTGTGGTCCATGCCTGTCTCTTTCCAGGTGTTCTTTTATCCTGAGTACCACTGAGCGTTCTCAACTGAGGGTGGCAGTTTTCCCTGTGGGCAAACCCCACAGCACTCATCAAATCCCTAATTGAATTACATCTGCTCATGTCTTATTGGCCAAAGCAAGTCATCTGACCAATTTCAGCTTCATCTTAATAGGGGATTGCTCAACAGAATCCTGTGGGGGGGATGGTTCGCTGGGGGTCATTAGTTTAACAATCCACCATAATATCAGTATTCAATTCATTCACCAAATATTTACTAGACACCTAACAAGAGCCAGGCATTTTGCTTGATTCTGGGGACATTGAACAAGTCAAGCACAATTCTGTCTTTTATTTACATTGTTGGGAAGAGAGACACTGAACGAGAAATGAGAAATATTTTTAAACTTTCTATGAACTTCAGGTTACTATGAAAACTTAGAATAGGATAAAATTGGTACAAAAGGTCAGGAAAGGAATCCCTGGGAAATACTATTCAAACTGAGAACAAAAGAATGAGCTGGTGTTTACTAGATAAAAGGAGGGGCAAAGGAAGAAGGCCAAAAAGCCTTCCAGAGAAGAAATGACACAGAAGGTAAACCAAAATATTGTCAAGATCAAAGTTGGAAAATAGCACACATTCGATTTTACAAACATAGCCACCAAAATTTTTTTTTTTTTCCTGGTACCAGAGATCAAACTCAGGACCTTGTGCTTGCAAGGCAAGTAACAGCACCACCCTGGCCCACCACCAAAATCTTAATAGAGCACTTATTTTTAAAAATCTGGTTTTCTGTATGTATGAAATTACAGAAACATGTATTACTCTTACATTGGAAAAAGCCAAACAATTGAGCTATTTTCATTTGGCACTAATACATTTTTCAAATTGTATGCATGAACATTCTCACCCATTTCCACTTTAATGCTGCAATTTCTGAAACTACTGCCCAGGGTGAAAGTTAACTATTTAACTGTACCCACTCAGCACCCAGAACAGTACTAACATTCACATATCATCCTGTAGAATGCATCCTCACTCATGAGTTTGGTTCCCAAGCAGTTCACAAGGCAAAGGTTAAAATCTGTCAAAACTGCTTTTGCAAACTGCTTAAGCCCACAAAACAGCGTCAGTGCAGTGACACCCATGCTGCCAGATTGTCAGCTTCTTCGGTTGGACATCACCTCATCTCAAGTATTTGGCTCAAGCCACAGTGATGAGAAGAACTCACACCCCATCTTTAAACACTTGAAGCACACTTGGTGGAGTGGGATGCTCTCACGGAAGAAGGCCAGCTGGAATGGAGGCTCACTGAGGAGGCAGCAGCAGATGGCCCACTCTCACCCAGGGCTGTTGGGACGCACACCGACTGGGGGAAATGGAGGGCTCAGCTCTCATCACTGTCTTGTTACCATCTTTTTCTTTTTTGTCAAGTAGACAGGGCTACATGTGCTTAGTCTAAATGTGTTCACATAATTCCCCTGTAAGCCCAGGAAAGTACTAGAGATGCTGAGGAGAAATTATGAAAGTATATATAGCCTGGTTTTTCGCTCTTGTAGCAAAAAAGTTTCAAAAAGAAATACAGCATTCAGTGATACATGAAGCATGTAAGAGGCCGGGGATTTGGCTCAGTGGTTCCACTGCCTGCCTTGCAAGGGCATGGGCCCAAAAATAAGAAGCATGTAAAAGTATAACATCCTAAATTGTACACTGGAATTGCCACAGGTCATTAACATACCTATTGTAGGGATGGTCGTCACAATCTCTCCCAGTTTTAATTTATATAAGATGGTGGTTTTTCCAGCTGCATCTAAACCCACCATAAGGATCCGCATCTCTTTTTTTCCAAATAGACTTTTAAACAGCTTTTCAAAGATGTTTCCCATTGTAACTGAATTCTGTAACCTGAATTAAAAAAAGCAGATTAAATCATTATTCTTTGCTGAATTGTAAAGGAACGTTTGAGTGCATAACATTATAAATCTCAATTAGACATGGCACCTAGTAAAAGTTAAATAATATTAAGTACTACAGAGTTTGGCCAATAAGGAATAGTGCATCTTGTTTTCAAAGGGAAACTTAACTAAGCCTTTTGATGCCCTGCCCTGCCAGAGAATTCTACTCTGCAGCATTCAAGTGGGCCATGTGGAAGCACACCTTCAATGTCACACTACGGCGGCGGCATCCTTCAGTCATCTTACGTACAGAGACAATGACACAACACATGTATCTGTATCTTCTTCTAAAGTCTCTTGAAATTAGAATTTATAAAGCAGAGAATGTTTATTTTATATAATATCAAGTGAAGTCTTTAAGTCAGGTTAAATAACAATATCCCTAGCTGGGTGTGGTGGTGCATGCCTGCAACCCCAGCACTTGGGAGGCTGAGGCAGGAGAATCACTTTGAGTTCAAGACCAGCCTGGGCTACATAGTGAGTTCCAGGTCAGTCTCAACTACATAGTGAGACCCAGTCTCAAACAAACAAACAAACAAACAAAATATATATATATATCTCCCTTAGAAATTACAGTTGCTTCAGCTGGCAGACAACACCAATAGTACCCAAAAAGAGAGCCTAAGAAATGTCAGAGTTCAGGAAATACTGCATTGGAAATTACTAGACAAAGGGTGGAGAAGATGCCATTGACATCCAGCACTTCAAGGAGGGACTATAACCCTACTCTTAGCCAGCTTTTAAAACTTTTTCTTAAGTATTAATTACATATAGATATAAACACGAAACTGTAAAGTTCAATGGATTTTTGTCAATCAAAAACACCTAAATAGCCAAACCAAAAAAAGATGATTATCAGACTAGCTTCTCTTTGCGCCATTCCCAGTCATTACTCCCTAAAAGGTGATTACTATACTGTGATTACTATAGCAGTGTAAATGTTCAACAATTTATTTCTCAGGCGAATGCCTGGCAGATGACATAAAGGAAAGCAATAAAAATCAATTAGCTTTGAAGACATGTAGTCTTTTAACAGATCAGCCTATTTGAATTGAGCCTGACATTACAATTTAAAAAAAGTAATATCCGAGTTCGATTCCCGGTACCAAAAAAAAAAAAAAAAAGGTAATATGTCTGCAACTCTAAATGAGCCCTTGAAAATCGATAAAGACTGTTCAAAAAGAAAAAGCCGAGTGTAGTGGCAAACACCTGTAATCCCAGCACTCTGGGAGGCTGAGGCAGGAGGATCACAAATGTGAGCCCAGTTTGGGCAACTCTAAGTAAAAAAGTAAAATAAAATGAACTGGGGATATACCTTAGTGTGAAGGCCCTGGGTTTAATCCCCAGTACTACCAATAATAATAATAATAGAAAGAAAAATACATATATACTTGCTGTAGAGGCTATAATTTTCCTTTTAAATTGCTAACCAAGCTTTACTCAAGGAAGCGCCAAGATACAGCAAGGACAGCCAATGTGCCCTGCATCCCGACCTTAGCGGAGAGGACACCACATTCCAGAAGCCCCTCCTCGAACATTCAAGAGTTTCCTACAGTATTAACAACATGGTGCATGTCTGAGTACACATCGTTTCATTCTACCGTCAGAGAGGGAAAGCACAGCATTTCCCCTCTACACAAAGAAGGAAAAGTTAACCAAAAAATGAAGACTGCTTTAATCATTCATAGAAGGTCCATTACAGGACTAAACTAGTCCAGTGTGGTGAAGTATTCAAAATCTTGTCGGGCAACAAATCGACAAATTCCTTTGTTTCCGCAAAAAGGACAAATCTCACAGAAGAGGCAAACTAACAAACATGCTGAGGAAGGGAGGAGGGGAAAGGTACTTCCCGCTTAGACTCCCCTTGAAGTGGGGAGCGCCCGAGAGCCCCAGCCAACCGCACACAGCAAGCGGCGCTGTCACTCCCGCTTTTCTCCCCTTGCCTTCCTTGTCCGGCGCTCGAGGTCCTAGGTCCCTAAACTCAGCTGGAGATTCACTGGAGTAAGTCGCTGCCAACCCCAGAGCCTCGCAGGGATGTTCACCCTTCCCTGCTACAAGCACCGAAGTCCAAGGGGTAAACGACGGCGGCAGACAAGGGCACAAACGAGAGAAGTGGCCAATGCGAACTAGAAAGGACGCCGAATGTTCTTCCGGCCGGAGCCGCCAGGCTGCTCTCTGTCCCTCGCTGTCTGTAGGCCCACGGGAAAGCGGAGGGCCAGGCGGCGGAGCCTCCCGAGCATCTGTCGGTTCCCCAGGCCCCCGATCTACAGAGGGCGGGGAACGGACAGCGGAACTCAAGTCTCTTCCCGCAGTCTTCCACTGCTCTCTAGTTTCCCGCCGCCCACGGATATGAAATCCATCCAGGTAAAGTACTGAACGGTGCAGCCCCTTCCTTTCAGCGAGCGACTCACCTGCCGCCGTTAGGAGAACCGTTTCAAACACCACTAGCAACACGGCTGCCCAACTGCCCGCAGGAAGATGGCGTCTGGACAGGGGCGGGAACAGCAACCAACCAATTACTCACCGCCTCCTGGAGCCTTTGTACCAATGAACTCAAAGTTTTGTGAGTGAAGACATATCTGACCAATGCAAAAGGCAATGAGCGTGGGAGGGAGGAACCCCGCCTCCCGCGACCTAGGCAACAACAGGAAGCTCTAGAAACGCCGGATTTATCTTCCAATGACTCCTCAGTGCGTCCCCATGCGTGACCAATTAGAAAAACCGAGAGGATTTCCGATTTGCCGGGCCAATCAATTCGGAAAAGTCTCAAGTATTAAACTAACCCGCGGAGTAGTCAAATCAACCGGGTGAGGACAGGTGGGCGGGGCTAGGGCTCTAGGGTTATATAAGGAAATTTGCCACGGTTGAGCTAAAAGTAGAAACCAGTTTGGGACGGTGTATCATGTAGGAAATATTCAGACACCGGCACCAAAATTGGGCATAAAGATTTCCTGTTCAGTAAGAAACTAGACGCTGTCTGGCCTGTAAACAAATTTTTACCAACCGGGAGAAATACAGCCACGTGCACTATCCAGACATCCCAGAACCACAGCCTTTACTTCCTGAGAAATGCTTTCAATAAGTCAGTACCCTAAATACCAACTTGTTTAGCTAAAAATTTTACAAATACCTGTACGTAGCACATAACTATAATAAATAATCAAAATAACTAATATCTACTTAAACGTATGTCTAGGACTTTGCCTGCTTGACCAGAATGTCCCAGTGAACTAGAAATTATTACTTTCATTTCTTTTTTCAAAGAGGAAAAAAATTAAGTAGTCTGGCAGAGATTCAAGCCTAGATCTGACTGGCACCTTTATCTTTTTAACTAGATACTTTCTCTTCTGAGTACAATGATTTTATATGTAGGTATAGATATATAGATAAAAAATACATATGGGTTTCTCAATATGACTTCTTTAAAAATTATTGTATATTTTCTCTAGGGACTCAGTAAAGTTTCTGGCAAATAAACAGTTAAATCCCTAAGCGAGGGAGAGGGAGAGATGGGAGACAGAGACAGAGTGGGTGGATGGGGTCTTGAGTTCAAGTCCCAGTGCTGGAAAAAAAAAAAAAGAAAAAAAATACTACTCTAAAGTTTATCAAAAAGAAAGAGAGAGACAGGCTAAGAAAAACAGAAAGAAATGATAAGATGACCTGGCCTAGCTTCCAAAGCCTCAATTCGCTCCTCCCTCCACCTCCAATTAAGCACAAAAGAAACAAAGTGGGAGGGGGCTATATTTAGAAAACTCAGTATGTAAAATATACACTAACAGACACTCACACATCTATATATAAGTACATATATATTTTATTATTTTCTCACCATATTAATACACTAAAATTTACATGTAGCCTTTTTACTTGGCTTTGAATCTCACAACATCACCTGGACAGCACAAAGAGACCAAAAAAGTGCTTATCCGAAAAGGTACATGTAAGCAATGGAAGGGACAATAGCTAAATCAGGGGTCTCAGAGCCCAGAAAAACCAATCAAATTATACCAGCTCTCAAGGGGGATAGTCCATTTCTTGGCATGTGATAAAGGAGGCTAAGAACAAAGAACCTCAAGTGCTGGCTCTAGGATACCTATCTTACTCTAACAATGTAGCTATCTAGCTCCCTATTTCTCTCCTTTTCCCAATAAAATTATTTTTTAAAAAATTATCAGTACCAGGGGTTGAACTCAGGACCTTGTGCTTACAAGGAAGGTGCAGTACCACTGAACTAAATCCCCAACCTCTAATAAAATGATTTTGTTCCCTATTTTTCTTTCCTTTCCAATAAAGTGATTTTGTTTCTCCTTCTAAAGTTATAACTCTTATTCTTTATTTATGTAAATTTATGGACCCTAGCTAAGGATCTATCCTTCCCAAACACGATGATTATATATAATCATTTGTTAAAGTTCTTGGGGAAGGGCCGGGGATTTAGTTCAGCTGTTCGGTGGTCGGTACCAAAAAAACAAAACAAACAAACAAACAAAAAAGTACTTGGGAGAAAAAACACCCCCACCCCAGGTTGGGGAGGAAAGGCGGAGAGGGAAAGGATAAAGGGGGAAGAAAACAACAATCAAACCGGGCATAGTGGTACACACCTGTAATCCCAGCATTCGGGAGGTTGAGGCAGGAGGATCACCTGGAATTTGAGGCCAGTCTGGGCTACATAGTGAGTTCAAGTTCAACCTGAAATACATAATGAGACCCTATCTCAAAAAGAACAAAACAAAATCATCTTGCTCTACAAAGGCAATTCATTGTTACCATTATTTCTCGCTAGACATTTTTTTCTACGCAAAATTTGCATAGTTAATGTTATAAATACACACAATGCTGTCTTTTTCCATTTATTTCCATTTTCCACTAATTTTTTCCCTTCCTTGTGGTACTGAAGATTGAGCACAGGGCTCTTGTACTGAACTACGTCCCTGCTCTTTTTCTTTTATTTTGAGTCAGGGTTTGGCTGAGTTACTAAGTTGCCCGGGCTAGGCTCAAACTCTCCGTTCTCCCGCCTCAGCTTCTCAGAGTGCTACAACGACAGGTGTACACCACTACATCTGACTGTACATTTTCAAACATCTTTGATAGCTGTGTGATATTTCATCATATGAATGTATCCTAGTTTATTTAAAAATTTTCATTTACTTCGACATTTAGATTGTTGCTAAGTTTTTCTATTGCAGATAATGTTCCAGTGAAGAATTTTTTCCCTTTCTGTATTCCTTATTATTTTTCCAGGAAATAATTCCAAAACTGGAATCACCAGGTCAAAATATGAAGGTGCTTAAAGTTCTTAATATATATTACATTGCCAAATTGTTTTCTGAGTAAATTCTTAAAGTTATATGTCCAATAACTAAGAAAAAGACACACTTGCTTCGTCATTTGGTAAGTGATTTTTTAAAAAGTGTGCTTTCATGGAGCAACAGGAACTTTCATTCATTGCTGGTGGGAAAGCAAAACAGAAGAGCTACTCTGGAAGACAGTTTGGTAGTCTCTTCAAAAACTAACCAGGGCTGGAGATTTAGCTCAGTGGTTCCGCCGCCTGCTTTGTAAGTGCAAGGTCCCGAGTTCAAACCCCTGCACCACACACACACAAAAAAACCAAAAAACAAAAAACAAAAAAAAAAACAACCTTACTAGACCGTTAGCCAAAAGAGTTAAGGGGAAGTTGGGGCATAAGTAAAATTTAATTCCACACAAAAATGCATGGATGTTTATATCAGCTTTATTCATAATTCCCAAAACTTTAAAGCAACTGTATTAACAGTCCCTAAAGGATAAATATAAAGTATATATATAATTGCCGGGCGTGGTGGTGCACACCTGTAATCCCAGTACTTGAGAGGCTGAGGCAGGAGGATCGCTGTGAGTTCAAGACCAGCCTGGGCTACATAGTGAGTTCCAGGTCAGTCTCAACTACATAGTGAGACCCATCTCAAAAAACAAAAAACAAACAAAAAAAAGTGTATATATAATTATACAAATGGATTTATTAGGTAGGCCATTGCGATTCTTCTGCCTCTGATCCTGTAAGCCTACCTAAAAAATCTTTGGTATAGGAAGAGGTGGAAGAATCCAAAATGGCTGTCTGCACACTAGAGAGCTGGAGGATCCAGGAGCGGCAGCAGATCAAAGGCCTGGAGGCTCAGTATGGAGTTATTGGTGCAAGCCTGCATTGGAAAGCTGAAGAAACTGAAGACAAATATCCAAAGGCAATGGTAAAAACTGGAGCTCTTTAAAAAAACAAAAGGCACACACTTCCTTCTTCTTTCACTTTTTATTCTGTGCAGGCTACAACCTATTGGTTGGTGCCACCTCCTACATCTAAGATAGATCTTCCTCTCTTAGCTTCCTGGCCTACGTGTCAGTCATGCACAGATACACCCAGAATTTACTAATCTGCTAGGCAGTTGTTAAATCTAGTTGATCTGTTACAATTCATGATCACAGCTGGGCAGAGTAGCACATGCCTATAGTCCTAGCACTTGGGAGACTGAGGCAGGGGGATTGCCACACATCTGAGGGCAGCTGGGGCTATATAGTGAGACCCTGTCTCAAAAAATAACCCCCCAAAATAATTAATGATCACAGCAACATATCCTTTAATCGATGAATGAATAAACCAACTGTGGTACATTTAGTCAATGAAACTTTATTCAGTTCTAATAAATTTGAGCTATCAAACAATGAAGAGATGTGGAGGAACTTACATATATTACTAAGTGAAAGAGACCAATCTGAAAAATCTATGTACTGTGTGATTTCAACTGTATGATGGAAAAGGCAAAACTATGAAAATAGAAAAAAGACTAAGGGTTTCCGGGGGTAAGTGGGGAGGGAGGGATGAACAGGACATTCTTAGAGAAGTGAAAATATTCTGTATGCTAATGGCGATAGATACGTGTCATTGTATTCTGCACAAACCTATTAAATGTACATCACCAAGAGTAAACCCTAATAAAACTGTGCCATCTGGGTGATAATACTGTGTCACTGTAGGCTCCTCAATTGTGGTGAATGTACCACTGTTCCAAGGATATCGGTAGGGGGAGCAGGGGGTTTATGGGATATCTCTACACCATCTTTTCAATTTTGTTGTGCTAAAAGGGCTCTGACTTTTTTTTAAAGTAGATTTTCGTTGAGCTTTTTTTTTTTTTTCATGTTTGGTAACCAAAACCAAAATTTCATGTTGTTTTGTCACTCCTTAGATTGTTTTTTCCCCGTTTACTGCTCCTTTTATGGCATTTGCTACACATGATGCATCATGGCCTATTGTATATACTTACCTCTAAGGCACAGTTATAAAATGGTTTTGCCAGCAACCATGAAGGTTTCTTGTTTGAATGGAGCTATCACAACATGAAGAAAAGGTGAAAGAGCAAATGGAAGATTTTAATTTACTATTGGTTGTAATTACAGAAGGCATTTTTGACTTCATAATGCTGGGGATTAGCATGGCCCCTGTGCAAGGATGACACCCAAATTCATGAAGTGTTCCATA